TACTCAAATTCCTATGAATATTCTGCCTGCTTCCCATCTCTGAGAACAATTTCCGCTCCGAGGCTACATTAAACATTCAGGCCATTTCAGCTTCAGCTGCCCCCACCCTTACTGTGACTTTGAACTTGATATGGCTGAGGAAGAAACCAAAGCAACGATTTAAAAATATTAATAAAGATGGGCTCTATCCCAGACTTGGTAATTTTGTGCAGGAACCTCTGTGAGGCGTCCTGGGAAGGGCGTTGGGAATGTGCCCGTACTAGCTTTTCTATGGGAAGCTGACTGGAATCCCACTGCTTTCTGGAAGGATTTTCCCCATGGAGAAACTCAAGCCTCACACTCGCACATTGAACCTTCTCTCCTATGAGTTTAAAGCAATGATTTAATACCTTCACCTGACTGAGGATGGAGTTCAATGGTCGAGCGAGCCTTGGCTTTGAGCACTGACTTACAAACACCTTGACAGGCATATACATATACATATACATCTAGGCTACTGTCAGTTGTAAGAGGCACCTCCCACGTTTGTTGGTAAGTCCCAGCCTGGCATCAGTGGAGCATCCTGGGTCATGCCTTGACCATTAGAGGGTCATAGGAAAGTTAAGTCTCCTGTGTCGACTGTCAATTTTTTCATCTGTAAAATGATGGCAATTATAATTACTACTAAATAGGACTGCTGCTGTGCACTAGAAAAGCACATAAAATTATTCAGATCAAGGTTGAAACATAGCACTGAGGAACTCATTCAAATGTAAGCATTCGGGCTGGGGGTGTAACTAGGGTAGAGCACTCCTTCAGTTTGTCCCGTGTATGGGACCCTGTGTTTGAGCTCCAGCACCACAAAAACGAATGGCTAAACTGTGACAAGCCAGCTACTGTGTGCTTCTCTCGAGCAAAGCGTCCCCATCTGGCTGTAATACGTTGCATTCCAAATATCCCTCGCTTTACAAAGTTGCAGCAGAAGTTAAATATGTACTACGGCTCTACATCCACAAGGAAAACACTAACGATTCAACTGAACACAACATGCTTAAATAGCAGGCTCTGATTCACATAGCTAAGAGGCAGAAGCCTAAAATGAAAATAGCTAGCCCTGATTTCCAAATTAATGCCTATAAAAATGTTTTCTCCTGAAATTCACTCTAAAACAGAGCAGTGGAACTTTCCAAATTAGCATGACCGAAATAGATGATCTTGCTGTCTACAGCGTATCCAATTCTTAACCAACCTAAAGGTTTGAAGGAATTTCAAAAAAAGGGGGGTATAAAAATATTATCTGCCTATTCAAATAATCAGGCTAAGTACGTTTTTATCTGAAAATACAATCTGAGACAGTCTCATTTTATAGTCAAGAAACTCTCTTAACATATTCAGGGAGCTGCCGTTTTAAACAACTCAAGTTGAAGCTGCCAGTCAGAAACTAAATAAACAAAACCTAACCTGCTGGGTAGTATCCATCTGTACAGTCCTGGACACAGTTGCTGTAATCTGCAGGGGGATGGGTGGTTCAGTAAAATAAATAGTTCTCATTTCCTCTCTATATTTTCTCAAACCACACCAATGCACTTGTCTGTGGCTCACTTGAAGGGTTCGGTAAGCACTCTCCCCGTCTCGCTTAGAAGACTATGTTTTATTTTTATTTCATAACGAAATGGGAGAAACGATGTGGGTGTCTATTGTCCCAATGCACTGAGTCCTAATCGTTTTCCATTCTCACTTGTCAGCAAGGTAGTGTTCCTAAGAGACTCGGGAGCTTTTTAGCCATTAAATATTGCCTTTTGCTTTGTGATATTTGTTTCTTTCCATAAAATGATGCTGTGTATTCCCCCTAATGGTGAAGGATGAAAGAGGGAGAGAATTCTATTTGGTGATATTGGACCACAAAGAGGTGAACTTCAGAGATCAAATCGCCAATAGAAGAATAAAATGTGTGATGTGAGATGGAAACATGGGATTCCTCACAAATAGCCAACATGATTGGTAATTCAATAACACTGTTGTTTTGTTAATATTTGAAGGGGGAAGGATATAGCTCTTAGGCATTCGCCTTCAGCCAGACTCTCTCTGCTTGCCTCCTTTCCCCAAGTGAGCCGGGATGTTTATAGGCACCGAAGTCTGAGAGCTTTGCAAAGGGCTGTTAAAGCCACGAAGGTTATAGGCAAGAGTTGAAGAAGCCATTGGACTTACCTCGACCAAGACTACAGCTGCATCTTGGTCTCTGTGACTCAGTAGCCAATGGGAATCATCTGCCTTCAACAGTGCAGAATACCTACAGCATCACTGCAATCTGAGCAAGAAAGACACGCAAAGTTCTACAGTGAAGCCAAATGTGGTGGTGTATGCTTATAACCCCAACTACTTGGTAGTCTGATGCAAGAGGATCAAGATCCTAAGAGTTCAAGGCCAACCTGGGCAACATAGTGTTGCAAGGCTACTCAGTCCCTTTCTGAATATTTGGGTAATCAGGTATCATTTTGAGCTTTGGCTTCTTTATCCAGGGTACTCTTATGGCGGTGGTGGTGATAATGTATTGGAAGCTGTGCTGGTGGTGATGGTGACCGTGTTGATGGTGTTGTTTTTTTTAAAAAATGCTACAAGGTGCTCGGTGGCAGTAGGCAGCAGAAATGGCTGCCGGTCCCAGAGCGGTGGCCCGAGGTGGCAGGCAGCGGGCCCTGGGAGTAGCCAGTCCCAGGCAGAGATGGCTGCTGGTCCCAGAGCAGTGGTGGCAGGCCATGTGGCAGCAGGCAGTGGGCCCCAGGCAGAGTCGGCTGCTGGTCCCCGAGCAATGGCTGGTCCCAGACAGGGAGACACATGGTGGGCGGGCAGAAGACAGAAACATGGATAGACACGACATGCAGGGTGAGGTTGAATGTTTATTCAGGGGGTTATGGAGGAGGAAGGTTGAAGTGGGGGACAGAGAGAGAGGGAGAGGGAGAGAGAGAGAGAGAGAGAAGAGGAGAAAGAGACAGAGAAGGGGGGAAGAGAGAAGTGGGGAGAGAGGCAGAAGCAAAGCTGCCTCTCCGAGAGGAAGATGGAAAAGAGAACGAGCTCAGCTCAGGCCGGAAGCTGAAGATCAGCCTGCCTCAGCGGATGGGGAGGGGAATGGGTGTGGCTTGTCTCTTAAAGGGACCAAAACCATAACATTCCCAGGTCTTCCTTATAATAAAAAGCACGTATGTAAAGGAAGCAGAAAAGGAAGGGCCCAAGATGGCAGCGGGCAGGTCAGAGGTAATGGGAGTGGGCGTGGCTTGTCCCTTAAAGCGACAGGAAAGGACAACATTCCCAGGTCTTCCTTATAATAAAAAGCAGGAGACCAGGCACCACAGCCCAAAGGAACTGGGGCTGCAAACTCTCAAGACTGCAAACTCTCAAGACTGCTTCCGGCTGATTGTGGGCGTGGTCTTTGGGAGGGGCGCGAGAGAAGGCTGGGTGCTGGTCACATCCTGGCATAGCTGGTCTTTTTGTTTCTGATCGATGTCTGTGGCATGGAAATGTCTACACGGACCAAGGAGTCTAACACGTGCGCGAGTCAGGGGCTCGTCCGAAAGCCGGGCGATGGTGGCGCACGCCTTTAATCCCAGCACTCGGGAGGCAGAGGCAGGCGGATCTCTGTGAGTTCAAGACCAGCCTGGTCTACAGAGCTAGTTCCAGGACAGGCTCCAAAGCCACAGAGAAACCCTGGCTTGAAAAACCAAAACCATAACAGATGGTGATCATGATTATACTGAAGGTTGTGGTGGTGGTGGTAGTAATGGAGATGATGGCAAGACATTGGGATTAATGGACGTGGTGCTGGTGGTAAGGGTCATGGTGAGGGTGAAATGGTAGTGGTGGTAGTGGTATTGGAGGTATTAGTGTTGGAGTTGATGGGGGTGGTGATGGTAACAGTATTGGAGTCAGTGGTAATGGCGGTGGTTAAGGTAGTAATGGTAGTTGTGATGCTAATAATGGTATTGGTGGTGGTCATGGTGGAAATGGTGTGGGAGGGAGGTAGTGATAATACGATAATGGTCATGGTGAGCATGCTGATGTTGGAGAATCAGAACACCAGCACTTTACCAGTGGAGTGAGCACAATCTTGACCTTAAATCTCAAAAGATGAACTGAAGACTTCAGCTTCAGAAAGCCACTCTTTCTATGTTTTCTAAGTCTTCATTTCTAGTAATCAGATGCTAAAGTAATCATACTTATGCTGTTTTATAAAGTTTATTCTACTTTTAGAGTTATGTTTGTCTCTGTGTATCTGTTTCTGTATTTGTGTGTGTGTGTCTGTTGTGTCTATTTCCGTGTCTGTGTATGTGTCTATCTGTGTGTGTGTCTGTCTGTTTGTGTCTATGTCTGTTTCTGTGTGTGTGTATCTGTGTGTGTGTGTCTGTCTGTCTGTGTCTGTGTGTCTATCTGTCTGTGTCTAGTTGTGTCTGCGTGTCTATGTCTACATCTGAGTCTCTGAACATGAATGTAGATGTCCATCGAGGCCAGAAGAGAGAGTGGGAGTTACAGACAGTTGTGAGCCACCGAATGTTGGTGCTGGGAACCATGCTTGGATCCGGTGCAGGAGTATGTGCTCTTAACCTCGGAGTCATCTCTCCAACCCAACAATATTATTATTGATTATGACTTGAAAGACACTTTTAAAACAATGGGAAAACAAAGCAGAAACCAAGCCACTGCTTCGGGGACATATGGTGAGCTTGACTAATCTTCATGCATATTTGTTGTTGTTGTTATTCTTAGCTATTACTTTCATCATAACCATTGGCACTGAAAGCATTTCAAAGTCCCAGGAGTCCTTGAAGATGCTACACTGTGAAATCCCAAGGACAGACGAGTTCAGTTCATGGAGATTTGTGTAGACCCATGGGACAACACTCTTCTAGCAATGTCTGGACTGTCTGGGAGTGGAAATTCATGCTTACAGCACTTGCCATGATAATGAAGAGACACCCTCACAGAGTAGAGTAATTTAGAAGATAAGGAGAGTCGTGACGCAGGTCACTTACATTTCTCTTCTTTCTTTTAGTCTCACTGCAACATAGAATGCCTACAGTCACTTCAAAGTTAGGCGTGGTCATGTTGACTCAGGAAATATGAGCAGAAGGGGCAGGTGTCACCAGTGAGCAGAAGCATCAGGATCCTGGAGAATATCCACCAAGTTCTCCCTGTAGTGAAAGAGGAAACAGGAAAAGAAGGAGCCTCCATCACTCCAGAATCCTAAATGGCATTGACAAACAGACCTCATTCTGACCCACAATAGACTTACATGGGAGAGTGAGAAATAAATTCCTGATATCTTAAGCCACTGAAATTTGGATAGTAAACCACAGCCTAATGTGTCCTAACAGACACCAATGTCCAAAATAGGAGTGTTTAAAGTGCCTTGTGGTCACACAGCAAAGAAGTCTACATTTCTCCTGCAGTAAACAAAGCCTTCTGAGACTTCAACTCTGTTCCATGTCAGAGTGAATGTGCCTACAAAAGGGAAGGGCTGGCTATCACAACCCAGATGTGATGGAAAGTCATTCTTCCCCATGGCAATCCCATCTGAATATAGGGAACTCGTATAGCTGCACTTGACTTTAAAGAATCAAGTATCCCCTCCCCATGAGGCAAGCCGACAGGTTCAGCGCCACCCCCATCCCTGCCACCCATGGTCACTTTCAGAGCTGCTCCTTTAAACACCTTAAAGTGTCAGCCACCTTAACCGACTGTTTTTCAGAAAACCAGACCTCATCAACGTTAGTACCACGCTGCATGCTAAGTGGGGCAGTAGATGAGAGAATTCCATCTGTGCCTGCCCTCCAGCCACCCAAGCTCCACCCCCAACAGAACTGGGACTGGGTCTGAAAACCCTAGAGCACACAAAGCCCAGGCGCTCTTTGAAGACCTGGCCCGGCATTATTTGTAAGTTAAAGACTTGCTGGGTCTTGCCAAAAACAACAGGGAGGGAAGAAAAGCAACGGTTGTGGGGTTTGTTTTTGCTTTGCTTTGTTTTTTTTCTGAACTTGGGAACTAAGCATAAACCTCCTCTTTTCTGAAAGGCTGGAGGGCTCCAATCTTTCACGGTGGAGCTGACCTCTCAGTGGCCATTGGCCCCATCAGATCCAAGTGGCTTCTTAATGGTCAGCCCTTTCCTTCCCAAATGAATCTCATGCTTGCCATAGCCAAAATAGATGTCCTGGTTTCTTATAAAGAGGCATCAGGTCTTGTACAGTGTCCAGGGACATTGTCAAAACATAATAAGATGAGTGGGGTGTGTGTGCTTTGATACGTTACAAGTGGCATTATTTCTTTCATTCCCAGCCTCTCCTGTGTCTAGTTTGCTCTGCCCTAGCAAAAACAAAAGAAATACACACTTGCTAGACATACGTCCAATGCAAAATCCTGACAAAACCCTTTGAGTTGGGTTCTATTGTGTCTGCGAATGCAGTGTAAGGCAGAGAGTTCTGTGGTTCACCCAAGGCATATATACAGGGCTGACTGTAGAGCCTGAGTTAAAGACACAGTATACACACAGGAGCAACTCTGATCTATAATGACCTGCTACCAGGCAAGTTTTGTAGTGGGATAATCTTTTTGTATACTGTGACGATGTGCCTCTGCCAAAACATCTTCTGATTGGTTTAATAAAGAGCTGAATGAGGGGGCTGGAGAGTTGGCTCGGTGGTTAAGAGCATTGCCTGCTCTTCCAAAGGTTCTGAGTTCAATTCCCAGCAACCACATGGTGGCTCACAACCATCTGTAATGGGGTCTGGTGCCCTCTTCTGGCTGGCAGACATACACACAGACAGAATATTGTATACATAATAAATAAATAAATATTTTAAAAAAAAGAGCTGAATGATAGGTGGGACTTCTAGGCAGAGATAGGAACTCTGGGTTAGAATCTGGTGTGGGGAATTTGCCAACAAGACACAGAGGAAGTTGGACGTACTATATGGAAGGGAGGTAACAAGCCATGTGACAGAATGTAAATGAATATGAACAGTTAATTTAATATTTAAGAGCAAGTTGGGAACAAGCCTAAGCTAAGGCCAAGCTTCATACGTAATAAGAAGTCTCCATATTATTACTTGGGAGCTGGTGATCAAAAGAAAGTCCAACTACAAAGTTGTTTGCTTGCTTGTTTGTTTGTTAATGACTATGGACATATTATTCTGTTAGCGTTCATCATTATGATGGAATACCAAAATAAATAAGGGAGCAAACAATTACTTGGCTCATAATTTCAGAGGTTTCAATCCACAGTCAGTGAGCCCCACTGCTTTGGCCTGTGTCAAGCCAGAAAGATCATGGTAGAAGAACAAAACAAAACACAAAGCTTCTTGGCACAGAGTAGGTAGGATGCAGGGGAAGAAGAAGAGGAAAAGAAGGATGAAGAAGAAGGGAAGGTGCCAAAGACAATATATATCCTTCAAAGGGCCCCCAAAAAGAATGGCACTATTAGGGGGTGTGGCTTTGTTGGAGTAGGTGTGGTCTTGCTGGAGTAGGTTTGTTGGAGTAGGTATGTCACTGTGGAGGTGGACTTTGAAGTCTTGCATACGCTCGAGCCATGCCCAGTGTCTCATTTGACTTCCTGTTGCTGCACAAGATGGAGAACTCTCAGTTACCTGTCCAGCACCATGTCTGCCTGCATGGTGCCATGACCCATCATGATGATAATGGACTGAACCTCAGAACTGTAAGACACTCAATTCCATGTGTTCTTTTATAAGAGTTGCTGTGGTCAGTTGAACAGGTGTGGTTACTCCCCAAGGTCATCAAAACAACCCCCTGAAAGGACAAATAAGGGGAAACAATCCTTAGAATTCACCCGTGGCTGGGCCAGTCACCTTTATAATTCATAGGCTATGGGAAATGCTCAGACCAGTACTGCCCCAATAGCAAAGGCTGTTGTCCTAACAACTGCTTTACAAAGTTTAAACAAGCTTGCAAAAAAAAGAAAAGTCATTTGGATATTTTTGCTCATGTTATTTAATTGTATGCTGTTGCATATCTTGGCTATTAGGAATCAGAGCTGTAATAATAGCCCAAGGTGCACTTCTCTCTTTGCTGGAGCGGTTTCATGGCTTTGGGATGTGTACCAGAAGGGCTCAACTTCATTAGCCAAAAGAGACACACAGATCAGAACAAAATAAAATACTATCTCCCTCACTAGAATGGCTATTACTAAACAGAAAACAAAATAACCAATGCCGACTAGGATGGGCAAAAGAGAGCCTGTATATACTACTGATGGGAGTAAAATTCCTAAGTCCAGTCTGGAGAGAAGTGTGCAAATTGAGGCTTGCTCACTTTGCTTGACAATGTCTCCATTTTCAATAATCTCTTGTGAGATTTACACTGCTGTGGTGATTTAAATGAGATGTCTAATGTCCTTCTGGCATTTAAACACTTGGTCCCAAGTTGATGGCGGTTTGAGAAGCGTAGGAGGTATGGGCTTTTGAGAGGAAATGTGTCACTGGAGGTGAACTCTGAGGCTTCAAAAGACTGGTATTGAGTTCTCCAATTCCCCCTGGAAGTATGAGTCTTCGTTTCTGTAAGCTGACTGGACCGCGGTGCTTTATCCTGGCAGTAGAACAGAGTCTAATACAGCTATCTACTACGGTTAGGCTTGACCACCTTCACCTCATTAAAATAACTGTGATTACTGATGGAACAGAAGAAAAACAAAGCGTTGTTGTAGTCATGGTGTCTCTTCACAGCAATGGAAACCCTAGCGAGGATACCCTCTCCCTACAAGCTACCCTCTCACCAGGCCTCATCCACTAATAGAACATTCAGCACAGTGACATCTGAGCCCTCATGATTTCATGACCTCTCAAGAGTGCTACCAACTTGAGACCAAGTCTTCAGCACTTGATGTATATTTTACACACAACCCTCCACAGGCATGCACATAGTTGCTATGAAGAAAATATGCTAAGCCCTCTATCACTATCAGAAATGCAGAAATCTCAACCTAGGGTCCCAGAGCACAAGCTCAAAGCCTGCTGAATAAAGTGGGATTTGAAGCAGCAAGGTAGAAAGGTGTCTATGGCCATGGGAAGAGAGCCCCATCTGGGCAACTACAGAAAAGACATCCTGAACTGAATCCATTTGATAAGTTCATAAAAAACTGCATAAAAAGGTAACTTTCCATTGTTGTATATTGGTTTGAATTTATCGGTAGCTTAGGATTTTTAAAATAAACCACTATGAGTATTACTCAGCAGTAAAAAACAAGGACTTCTTGAATTTTGCATACAAATGGATGGAAATAGAAAACACTATCCTGAGTGAGGTAAGCCAGACCCAAAAAGAGGAACATGGGATGTACTCACTCATATTTGGTTTCTAGCCATAAATAAAGGACATTGAGCTTATAATTCATGTTCCTAGAGAAGCTAAATAAGAAGGTGAATCCAAAGACAAACACATAGGCATCCTCAGGAATATTAACCTTCATCAGGCGATGAAAGGAGACAGAGACAGAGACCCACACGGGAGCACCGGACAGAAATCTCAAGGTCCAAATCAGGAGCAGAAGGAGACGGAGCACGAGCAAGGAACTCAGGACCACGAGGGGTGCACCCACACACTAAGACAATGGGGATGTTCTATTGGGATCTCACCAAGGCCAGCTGGCCTAGGTCTGAAAAAGCATGGGATAAATCCGGACTAGCTGAATATAGCGGACAATGAGGAATACTGAGAATTCAAGAACAATTGCAGTGGGTTTTTGATCCTACTGCACGTACTGGCTTTGTGGGAGCCTAGGCAGTTTGGATGCTCACCTTAGGAGACCTGGATATAGGTGGGCAGTCCTTGGGCTTCCCACAGTTCAGGGAACCCTGATTGCTCTTCGAGCAGATGAGGGAGGGGGACTTGATCGGGGGAGGGGGAGGGAAATGGGAAGCGGTTGTGGGGACGAGGCAGAAATCCTTAATAAATTAATAAATTTAAAAAAATAAATAAATAAATAAATAAAAAAAAGTTATAAAAAAAAAAAAAAAACCACTATGAAAAAACACAATGTATTGTGTCCATAAAAACAAAGAGAACAGAGAGACGAGAAAATCACAGACACGGTATCATCAAAAGATGCTTAAGGAATATGGAGAGGGGAGAGGGATGATGAGGCAGAGAAGAAATTCCAGCAAAATCACTGAGAAGAAGGGAA